GTGTTTATCGCTAGTGATTTTGATGAAGATACACTTGCATTGCTTGTGTGGTGACCATGGGTAGTGAAGAACAAATAGAAGAACATGTTAATGCAGATGACGCGGACCACTATGAGAGCTTGATCGTCAAATGAAAGTGCTTAGTGCACAAATGGAGAAGGCGGAGCAAAATCAGCGACACACCTTATTTCAAACAAAGTGTGTCATCAAAGACCGTTCGTGTCACATGATCATTGATGGGGTAGCTGCAACAACTTGGCAAGCGGCGACATGGAATGCGAAGCTTTCACTCACCACCAAACCACACCCGCATCCCTACTACATCCAATGGTTGAACAACATTGGTAAGGCCAAGGTAACTAGACTTGTGCGAATCAATTTTGCCATCGGGACATATAAAGATATTGTTGAATGTGATGTTGTGCCTATGCAAGCTTGCAATATTCTCGCTAGGTAGACCTTGGCAATTTGATAGGGATTCTATGCATCATGGTAGATCAAATCAATATTCTTTTCTATACCATGATCGAAAAATTGTGTTGCATCCTATGTCTCCTGAAGCTATTATGCAAACCGATGTTGCTAGGGTTTGCTAAATCTAAGAGCGAGAGCAATAAAATGACAAATCAGTAATTGAAGACAAAGATGAGATAAAACTAAAAGGACGATGTATGCTTGTCACAAAATCGATATTAATGAGTTCAATGCATCCACCTCTGTTGCTTATGCTTTGGTATGCAAGGATGCTTTGATTTCAAATGAGGATATGCAACGTTCTTTGCCTCCTCGCTTTATTGCTAACGTTTTGCGGGAGTATTACGATGTGTGTCCCAAGTAAGATACCAGCTGGGGCTGCCACCAATACACGGATTGAGCACCAAATTGATCTTATTCCCTGGTGCATCTTTGCCAAACCGTGCGCCATACTGGGACAAATCCGGAAGAAACAAAGGAAATTCACGATAAGTGCAAGAACTACTAGACAAAGGTTATGTGCGTGAATCTCTTAGTCCTTGTTTGTTCCAGTAATTTTAGTGCCTAAGAAAGATGGAACTCGGCGTATGTGTGTTGATTGTAGGGCTATTAATAATATCACCATTCGATATCGACACCCTATTCCGCGATTAGATGATATGCTTGATGAAATGAGTGGTCTTTGTTCATTTTTCAAAAGTTGATTTGCGAGTGGGTACCACAGATTCGTATGAAAATTGGGAGATGAATGGAAAACGGCTTTCAAAACTAAGTTCGGTTTGTATGAGTGATTAGTAATGCCTTTTGGGTTAACTAATGCACCTAGTACTTTCATGAGATTAATGAATGAGGTTTTGCGAGCTTTCATTGGGAAATTTGTTGTCGCTCTACTTTGATGATATATTGATTTACAACAAATCCATGGATGAACACCTTGATCACTTGCGGTTGTTTTTAATGCTCTACGTGATGCACGTTTATTTGGTAACCTTGAGAAGTGCACTTTTTGCATCGATCGAGTAGCGTTTCTTGGCTATGTTGTTACTCCACAGGGAATTGAGGTTGATAAATCCAAGATTGAAGCTATACAAGGATGGCTGTACTCCACGACGATCACACAAGTGCGGAGTTTCCTAGGACTTCTTTGGTTTCTATCGCCAATTTGTGAAAGATTTCAGCACCATTGCTGCACTGTTACATGAACTTACAAAGAAGGAGTGCCCTTTTCTTGGGGCAAAGCACAAGAGCATTCTTTCCACATGCTAAAAGATAAGTTAACACATGCACCTCGCTCCAACTTCCCGATTTTAATAAGACTTTTGAACTTGAATGTAATGCTAGTGGAATTGTAATGGGTGGTGTTTTATTGCAAGAAGAAAAACCCGTTGCATATTTTAGTGAGAAACTAAGTGGACCTATGCTGAATTATTCTACTTATGACAAAGAATTGTATGCACTTGTGCGTAACGTTGGAAACATGGCAAAGCATTATTTGTGGCCTAAAGAATTTGTTATACATTACGATCATGAATCGTTGAAGCATATTCAGTAGTCAAGGAAAACTGAATCGTAGACATGCTAAGTGGGTTGAATTTATTGAATCTTTCCCTTATGTAATTAAACACAAGAAAGGAAAAGAGAATGTCATTGCTTGATGCTTTGTCTAGGAGATATACTTTGTTGACACAACTTGACTATAAGATCTTTGGTTTGGAAACAATTAAAGAACAATATGTGCATGATGATGATTTTAAGGATGTCTTACTGCAATGTAAAGATGGAAAAGCGTGGAATAAATTTGTTGTGAATGATGGCTTTGTGTTTAGAGCTAACAAGCTATGCATTCCAGCTAGCTCCGATTCGTTTGTTGTTGTTACTGGAAGCGCACGGAGGTGGTTTGATGGGACATTTTGGAGCAAAGAAGACAGAGGACATCCTTAGCGATAATTTCTTTTGGCCAAAGATGCGGAGAGATGTGGAGAGATTTGTCTCTCATTTGCACGACATGTCAAAAGGCTAAGTCACGCTTAAATACACATGGTTTGTATATGCCTCTACCTGTTCCTAATGCTCCTTGGGAAGATATTTCTATGGATTTTGTGTTGGGATTACCAAGGACTAGGAAGGGCCGTGACAGTGTTTTTGTGGTTGTGGATAGATTTTTGAAAATGGCACACTTTATACCTTGTCATAAAACTGATGATGCCACACATATTGCTGATTTGTTCTTTCACGAAGTTATTCGTTTGCATGGTGTGCCAAACACAATTGTTTCTGATCGAGATGTTAAATTTTTTAGTCATTTTTGAATAACTTTATGGGCTAAATTGGGGACTAAACTTTTATTTTCTACCACTTGTCATCCCCAAACTGATGGTAAAACTGAAGTTGTGAATAGAACTTTATCAACTATGTTAAGGGCTGTTTTAAAGAAAAATATTAAGATGTGGGAAGATTGTTTGCCTCATATTGAGTTTGCTTATAATCATTCAATGCATTCTACAACAAAGATGTGTCCATTTGAGATTGTTTATGGCTTGTTACCACGTGCTCCTATTGATTTAATGCCTTTGCCAACTTCAGAAAAATTAAATTTTGATGCTAAACAACGAGCTGAATTAATGTTGAAACTACATGAAACAACTAAACAAAACATAGAGCGTATGAATGCTAAATATAAGTTTCTTTGGTGATAAAGGTCGAAAAGCAATAAATTTTGAACCTGGAGATTTGGTTTGGTTGCATTTGAGAAAGGAGAGGTTTCTGCATTGAGAAAGTCTAAATTGATGCCTAGAGCTAATGGACCATTTAGGGTATTACAAGCGGATTAATGAGAATGCATATAAACTTGATCTTCCAAAGCAGATTTTGGGGTTAGTCCCACATTTAACATTGCAGATTTAAAGCCATATTTGGGTGAGGAAGATGAGCTTGAGTCGAGGACGACTCAAATGCAAGAAGGGAGGATGATGAGGACATCAACACCGACGACGCGATCCGCGCCGACACCCGAGTACCTATCGCTGGTCCTCTTACTCGTGCTCGTGCTCGTAAAATTAATTATCAAGTGAGTTGCCTCTTGAGCTCCTGTCCATCTTATTTAGATCTTGGAAACATGTGCACTCTTGTTTTGATTAGGAACCAAGGAGAAGACCGAAAGGGAGAAGGATTCGCGATGGTGGATTCAGATCGCAGAAAGGCACCAACTTGTGACCATCACCACGGTTGCATACGGAGTCGGATTCGGGCGCTTTAGGACTTGTTGGAAAGCTTATCAAGTCTACTTTCATATGGAACCAGTTCCATGTCCATATCTGTTCGGCAGCATCGGTAATTATTCAATTTCCGTCGAGAGGTCTTTATGTCGTGGTGTTTGTGTCACCTTATTTTAGTCCGATGGGTTGTGTATCGTCTTAGGGTCCATTAGGGACGTGTCTTAGGGTTGAGTACGACCCAAACACCTTGTTGGTCGTCCACCCCATGTTATATACTCTTTGGCCGCCGCCAAGACACTCGGGTTTTGTTTAGATCAAGTTTAGCCTTTGCTACTTGCTTGTAGGCGAGCGTCTTTGATCCAACCGCCCGTCTCCTTGTCTTGAACCCCACTCATAATAAGATTCAGTTTGAGGTTTTCAATTTCATCTTGCAAATTCAAAGTGCTTGTTTCCTTGTTCTTGCTAGTTCTTCGATTGCTTGCGGGGACAGGAGCCCTAGTGATTGGTTGTCGCGCTCCACAAAATCGTGTGACCTTTGGAGGTGGTGTATCGGTTGCTAAAGGCGCGATCTTGGAAGGCTGTAGTCGGCCGTGAACGTCATCTCCATCCACCAAATCGAGTTATCTCACGCCTCTCATCGAAAAATCGTCCACAAACCCTAACGGGTTCTTATCAATACGCCTAACCATTATGAAAGTACGCACGCAAATCCTTCTATGAGCATTTTCGAAGACTGTGCCGACAAATACTCGACGAAGTCACCACAAGCGCCTCGCCGTCGATGGGAACGTCGTCTACCACTTAAAAGCACAACGACGTAAAATTCTGGAATATTCGCTCCAATGGAGGGTCAGACCCAGGACCTTATATGCTACTGAGGCTCTTGTAACCACTAGGCTACACATCATTTCGCGACGTCTGCCAAGTTGAGAGTTGGCAAAAAAAAAGTCTTTTACGATTCTTTTTCTCCCCTCTTTCCTTTTCCTTTTTTTTTTTTTTCTGATGCAAATGCCCTATTGAATGTGGGCCGTCCTTAAGCTAAAGTCCAAACCACGAATCCCGAATACCATCTCAGCCCAATTTCGCCCATGGTACCACATTTTCCTCCTGCGCGGGAAGCCGTTACCTGTTGGCGCCAAAGTTTCCCGCCACTCCCGCCTGCCCGCGCCGCCGCCTCCCTCTCATAATACCACCACGCCACTCCGAAGTCCATTCCCCTCTCCTTCCCGCCGCTCCCTAAACCCTAGCCGCGCCCATTGCCGCCGCTCGCCTCAGCCTCCTCTGCCCAGTGCCTTCTTGTTCGCCGGCGGAATGGTAAGCGCACGGCCCCTCTGCCTCGTCCTCCTCCCGCGCTTGCGGCGCCGCAAGATCTGATCTCTTCTTGCTGCGGTTGCGTGGCGCTCTCGTCGTGCAGGATGACTCGGAGAACAACGCGCCCTCGACGCCGGGGTCCCCCGGGTTCAGCACCGACCGTTTGCCGCCCAACACCACCAGCCGCGGCGCCACCGACCCGTCCTCCTACTCCGACGACGATGGCGAGGCGGAGGTCGACCCTCACGTGCTCCCCGATGACGACGACCCCGCCGCCGCAGTGGCCCCCGACGAGGACGAGGAGGGGGAGGACCTCTTCAACGACAACTACCTCGAGTAAGCCAACTCGAATCTGACCCGGGGCTGGAGATTTCCGGGATCTGCTGTTTGTTTTGGGGCGCCTGGGTAATTGGGACCAGGGGATCTGGTAGATGGCGTGGGTTGATTGGCAGATGCGAATAATGCGATGGTTTTTTGGCCTGTGGTTTGGTCAGATATCTGCGGTTCTAGGATTTGTTGTCGTTATTTACCTCATAATGTAGGCAAATTGTCATTTAGAGAAGAAGAAATGGTCAATTTTTGTTGAAAAGATAACGAATTACATTATCCGAAACGTCATATGTTTGTAAGGAGGGAGTACATAAATTGGGGAAAAATTTGTAGTTGAGTAGATAATTGTAGTACTAGAGTAACTAACTGATAGGCTTAACTAATATTTGTTGGATTGATGGAAATGAACTTAAATCTTCTATGTTTTATCGAAAACAACCGTTGGTCTGACGGAAATACACTTAATCCGTCTCGAAATTTGCTAAATTGAAGTGCTTTGCGTGACTCTCTATGCCCATAGGGGCAGAAGCCCAGGCTCACCAGCTTTGATGAGAGATTTGTTAAGTGGCTCTGCTGACTTGATGCGAATTTGTGTTAAGTTACACATTGTAATCAAACTAAAGTTACTGTATGTATCCTAAATTGGGAATTTGGACTTGCACAGTTTGCTGCGAGGGTCACTTCTGGTTTTTTAAAATGGCTTATAACGAAGGCATGCATTTTTTACATGATCGCAATGAATAATCCAATCTCCCTTGCCAACACAAACCATTCTATATATCTGCTGACTGTCAGTTTTGAAATTTTTTGTTTCCATATTCAGTCTTTTTCCTTTTTCCTGATTGCAGTGATTACCGAAGGATGGATGAGCATGATCAGTATGAGTCAGTTGGTTTAGACGATTCACTCGATGATGAGAGGAATCTTGATGAAATCATGGCTGATCGAAGGGCTGCGGAAGCGGAGCTTGATGCAAGGGATGTGAGGACTGGTGCAGCAGTTGAAAGGAAGTTGCCACGGATGCTCCACGATCAGGGTAATGACTTCAAGACGAATTTTGGTTTCTGTAGGATATTAGAGCAAATATGGTATTTGTATTTTAAATATATGCTCTTGATTAAATCACCAAATGAGTATTTAGTATATGAACTTATGTTGCATCTTTGGGCTCTCGTTCATTTGCATCTGCTTCTTTTGTGATTGGTTTGAAGTTTGACTGGCCACATCCTCATTTGGTGATTTCAGTGTGGTTAATGCTTTCTGTAAAAAAAAAAAAACTCATTTTGGAAGATTTGCATATTATACTGAATATTGAGTTGGACTATCTCCATTTCTCCATTTATCAACTGTCGTAACAGAAAATGAATTTTAATTTTTCTTCCTCATGTAGGAAGGAGAGCTGTGTCATTTATATCTGAATTGCAAATGAATTTGTTGCTTAGGAAGTTATTAGTGTTTGTTTGAGTTCATATCCATATAGTAAGCATACAATAGATATTAGCAATCAATCTTCGCTCCGCAGCAGTACTGATTATGCCTGGATTTTTTTTTTGAGAACTGATGGTTATAGATTCTTGTAAAAAAGGGTAACATGATTGCCTTAGGTGTAAACTTTTGTAACATATATTAGAAGTCCAAGATTTAGATGTTAGTGACTGAATTCAAAGCTCTTTTCTTCCATGGTGCAGATACAGATGAGGATATGAATTTCAGGCGTCCTAAAAGGCACAGGGCTAGTTTTAGACCACCAAGTGGACCAAGAACACCAAGAAGTGATGATGATGGTGATGGTGCCACTCCAAGTTCACCTGGAAGATCTCAGCGTGGAATGTACTCCGGTGGTGATGTGCCTATGACTGATCAGACTGATGATGACCCATATGAGGTATTGTCATATCGATTTAAACTAGGTTATGCTTTTATTTCAGGACTTGAATTGGTTCTGTAACTACCAATTAAATAGTAAGCCTCATTTTCTGCAGCTCTAAATGTTTGTCTATCCTTGAATTGACAATATTTTTTCGGCAGGATGAATTTGATGAAGAAGATGAGATGAACATGTACCGTGTCCAAGGTACATTGAGAGAGTGGGTCACAAGAGATGAAGTCCGTCGCTTTATTGCAAAGAAATTCAAGGAGTTCCTTCTTACATATGTTAACCCAAAGAACGATCAAGGAGAGATTGAGTATGTTCGGCTTATTAATGAGATGGTTTTAGGTATCATCTGCTTCACATTCTCTGGTTGACATGAAAAAAATGCAACAAGTTTTAGCTGCTACTACAAAGTCTTTGCTTCTCTGACCCTTATCTATTTCTTCTGCAGCTAACAAGTGTAGCCTGGAAATAGACTACAAACAGTTTATTTATATACATCCAAACATTGCCATCTGGTTGGCGGATGCACCTCAATCAGTGCTTGAAGTTATGGAGGAAGTTGCCAAAAATGTTGTTTTTGATCTCCACAAGAATTATAGGAACATCCACCAAAAGATCTATGTCCGAATAACGAACCTTCCTGTCTATGATCAAATACGCAATATCAGGTAAATAACACAGTTTCCTTTGTATCTTTTAGCTTCATGATCAATTTGATTTGGTCTAATGTCCTACACGCCTTTGTTCAGGCAAATCCATCTGAACACAATGATTGAATTGGTGGTGTTGTTGTTTTCGACGATCTGGTGTATTCCCTCAGTTGCAGCAGGTGAAGTATGACTGTAGCAAATGTGGAACTATCCTGGGCCCTTTCTTCCAGAACTCCTACACTGAGGTGAAAGTCGGATCATGCCCTGAATGCCAATCCAAAGGGCCATTCACAGTCAATGTTGAGCAGGCATGTTACCGTAAACATGTTTTCACAGTTCTGTCTTATTGCTATGTGATATTGATATAGTTTTTCTATGTGGACTATATTGTTAATCCTAGTAAAACTATTTTTTTCGGTCTTAATACTTGCTTATTCTCCATGCAGACTATATATAGGAACTACCAGAAACTCACTCTTCAGGAAAGCCCAGGAATTGTTCCTGCTGGGCGGCTTCCCAGATACAAGGAAGTAATACTTCTGAATGATCTGATTGACTGTGCTCGTCCAGGAGAGGAGATTGTAATTTTTCTCCACCTACCATTTGTTTTTCAATTCATATTACTTTTGAAATCAGACTGACATTCCGTGCTTGCTGTCTCCAGGAGGTCACTGGGATATACACAAATAATTTTGACTTGTCTTTGAATACAAAGAATGGTTTCCCTGTTTTCGCCACAGTGGTTGAGGCAAACTATGTGGCAAAAAAGCAGGATCTGTTTTCTGCATACAAATTAACTGACGAGGATAAGGCAGAGATTGAGAAGCTGTCGAAGGATCCAAGGATTGGAGAAAGGGTTTGTTGCTCAACTCTTTAATCTCTTGATGAAAATGTGTTATGCTAATATACATTAACTCACTTATGCACCTAACTCACCAGATTGTCAAGTCAATTGCACCATCCATTTACGGCCATGAAGATATCAAGACTGCCATTGCACTCGCTATGTTTGGTGGACAAGAGAAGAATGTGAAGGGAAAACATCGCCTAAGAGGCGATATCAATGTCCTCCTCCTGGGTGATCCAGGCACTGCAAAATCACAGTTTCTCAAGTAAGGACAGTCAATCATTTTTCAGCAGTTCCTTGAGGATGTGCCATTAACTCGCCATTTTGCAGGTATGTGGAGAAAACAGGACACAGAGCAGTATATACAACTGGAAAAGGAGCCTCTGCTGTTGGTCTTACTGCTGCGGTTCACAAGGATCCAGTAACACGAGAATGGACACTTGAGGGAGGTGCACTAGTTCTTGCTGATAGGGGCATTTGCCTCATTGACGAGTTTGACAAGATGAATGATCAAGATAGGTATGATATAACATTTGCATTTGGATGTCCTGTACTATTTAAATTTCTGTATTACTAAAAATGTAATTCTCTTCTGATTGTTTCAGGGTAAGTATTCATGAAGCTATGGAGCAACAAAGTATCAGTATATCAAAAGCAGGAATCGTCACATCTCTTCAAGCTAGATGCAGTGTTATTGCTGCAGCAAACCCAGTAGGTGGAAGGTAACTTAAGTTCCATGCATGCCATGTAATACCAGTGATAGTATTAAGAAAGATACTGAATGCAATCATCGTTTATTTCACAGGTATGATTCATCAAAGACATTCACTCAGAATGTTGAATTGACAGATCCCATTATTTCACGTTTTGACGTCCTCTGCGTGGTTAAGGTTTGGAGCTGTTATTCATGTCTGATGTATTTGTTCCATGATCAGTTGTCAATCACTACTGATATTTAATTTTTAAAATGCAGGATATTGTTGATCCATTTACAGATGAAATGCTTGCAAGGTTTGTTGTAGACAGTCACGCCAGATCCCAACCCAAGGGGGCTAACCTTGAAGACAGGGTTTCAACCGATGTGGATGATGATCCACTGGCCGCTGCAAGACAAGCTGACCCAGATGTATGTATCCTATAGCTATTTCAACTGAAAGAACCTCTGACTCTGTTTTGTGGTTCTAACTGAATGTTATATTGTCAGGTCCTTTCCCAAGACATGCTGAAGAAATACATAACTTATGCTAAGCTGAATGTATTTCCCAAAATACATGATGCCGATCTAGATAAGATTAGCCATGTTTATGCTGAACTCCGTCGTGAATCATCTGTATGATATCCTTCCTTAGCCTTGTCTAGGGTTTTGTGTGAACTAAATTTCTGAAGTGGCACCTTTGAAAACAATGAAGTACTAAGTAGTTTCAACTAACTTTGTAGCATGGCCAAGGGGTTCCTATTGCAGTAAGGCATATAGAATCAATCATCCGAATGTCGGAGGCACATGCAAGGATGCATCTGAGGAGCTACGTGTCTCAGGAAGATGTTGACATGGCCATCCGTGTCTTGCTTGACTCTTTTATTTCAACTCAGAAATTCGGTGTGCAGAAAGCACTTCAAAAGGTAAATTTTGTTGGTATTGAACTGTTATATGTCCATTACATCATCCGATGCTACAGACCGTAAATGCATTTGATAATCAATTTTATGTTAAATTGCTCATCTATTTAACAGAAATGATTTACCAAACGGTGTCAGTTTTGTCAGTAAATTTATAAGTCTTGTTGCAGATTAAGCTAATAGCATGAGTTGAATCTTGTTGCCCTTTTGTACTGATCAGTCTGGGTCTGGGTAGTCCTTAAACTACTGAATGTCTTGCAAACATCAACTAAATTTCTGCTGTCCACAGAATTTCCGGAAATACATGACATTCAAGAAGGATTACAACGAGCTGCTTCTGCTCCTTCTGCGGACACTGGTCAAGGATGCCCTGCACTTTGAAGAGATCATGTCAGGATCAACCTCGCACCTTACTCATGTGGAGGTCAAAGTGGAGGACCTGAGAAACAAGGTAAGCCTTCATGAGTGCTTCCACACAAAACCGAGCTGAGTGACCACTTTAACATCTGGATTCTGACTTGCCACACCTGTTGACCCAGGCCCAAGAATACGAGATCTACGATCTGAAACCGTTCTTCTCCAGCGCACACTTCAGGGACAACAGCTTCGTTCTGGATGAAGGGCGTGGGATCATCAGGCATCCACTGGCGGAGTAACAACTGACTTGACTCCTGTCTAGAACGGTAGAACCGGCCTTTGTCGTTACGGCCCTGGGATGAAGTGAACAGCCACAGTGGCCTCCTGGATGAAGAGCGACGATCAGATTCAGATCTGACCTCATTTCTTTTAAGCATACAAATGACACTGGGACAATCGCCTTTTCAGGACTGATTTAGTATCTGTTGTGTAATTGTGTTATTATATTCAAGAGCTTCATATTTAAACGTCTATGCCCTTCGCTGCCATTTAGTCGTAACTGTACGGTGACTCAAATCATTTGTTAGATAAATGATGGGTGTGATTGCAGGCGATAAAAAACTAGGAAAAGAAAATAAATAAATAAATTACAGCCAAATAACTATATACACCAACAGACATTTAATTTCTAGACTGGTGGCAGTTTCATATATTTTGATTTAAAATGGGTTAAGTATGATTTTTTAGAAATTAAACAAGATCTAGTACGATGAGTAGTGCCTAGATGGGAGCCAGTGGCAGCTTGGAGGCGGGGAACTTGCTGCGTTCCTAGCTCTTGTGAATTGTGATGCTCGGTTCCATAGTCCTTTTGGAGGCACGTCTTTGTAACAAACTGTGCTCCCCTTCTTAGGCCGGAGGGCTTCAACTCACTAGTGAAGTTGTTTTTTTTTTCTTCAGTTTCACGAACGGCTCTCTCGGTGGAGGTAGAGCCATTTTGGTACCCCTTTTAGTAAAACGGCTTTACATGATAGGGGGAAAGATGAAAACACTATATTGCGCTTCACTTTCTATCATTTTTTCGTTTATCACGCGCAGTCTTCTTTCCCTCGCTCTCTCCCGTGGCTTCGATCGGCGGTTTGCGCCCTGCACCGGCGGTCCATGCCCCTCCCTAGGCCACCACGCACCCTCCCCCGTGGTCAGCACGACCCTGCCCGGTGGCCGCCGCACCCTCCCCGCCACCTTCCCCGACGACCGACACGCTCCCTCTACCGGCGACGGCCGGACCCCCTCATCCGACGCCCGCCGCGCCCCTCCCTTGGGCAGCAACGCGGTTTCCCGGCGGCCACGTGCATCCTCGGCAACCATGCCCCTCACGGCGCGGTGGCCGCGTATGCTCGCGCCGCGAGCCTTGGCTACCCATGCGCCACAGGGGTAAAACATGTTTCTCTCTCCTCTGGGTACACGTGGACGAGGTGAAGCCAGGTGAAGCCACTACTTTTGGCTCCGTACCTCTCGAAACATCTGTGAGAGCAGGTTTTCGGGGCTTCACCAGTAGAGCCGTTTCATTTTATCCCGTTTGGCAGAAAATGGCTCCAAACGGCTCCTGAAGCCGGTGGAGAAGCCTCGCCAAACGGAGTCTTATAATAAAAAATAAAATATACAGGCAAAAGGCTCATTTGTGGGGGAAAACAACTAGGTTAACTCTCTCTTTTAACCTCTCAAAAAAGATTCACTAATCCAAAGAAAAACAAAAATATAATTCAATGGAAATGACCACATGTACATATTGTAACCGAACATATTGTAGCAAAACAATGAGTGTAACCGATAGCAAAACAATGAGCGAATAATAATTTTAAGGTGATAACCTTGAATTTAAAGAATAATTATTATTTTTGCAACAATTCAAGATACATCAAAAGAAAATCCATTAGAACTTTTAAAGATCAATCAGTCAGTGAGCTATTTTTCCAGAATACCAATTAAATGGGTAGAATTTGAAGCTAGTACAATTTCGCAACACTTTGGTCCTACTTTCAGCTTTATACTTTTCTATAAATGGAAAAAATAGATAGGTGTTTCACAATTATTTCAAGAGAGATGAGAGATTAAACAATTTACAACTTTTCTACAGCATATAGCTGACATTAGCTTTTCCACAACCCATAATTACAATATTTTTTTCACTGCTTATAGCTAAAGCAAAGAGACCCTTAGATATGTTGCTATCCACATGGACAATAACTCCTTGTATTATAGGGAACAAAGCTTAGGCGGCAGTCCAAACTCAAACATTTCATGCTTGAATTTAGTGCGCATACCAACTTTATACAACCAACTGATGTTGTTCCAGCTAACCTACTAGGCTTTATAACCTATGCAAGATATTTAGGGTGCTTTTTGGTAGGGATCTAGATTTTCGTAGAAACGTATCGGATCCAGATTCTCTTAAGAAATGTTTCTGGTGATGAATCAGAATAATTTCGTGAAACCGTTTGGCTGGTAGGCAAGATTCTGATTCAAAAAATATATTTTTTCATAAAAAATCATATAAATAAAAATATTATTCAAAAAATTTCAGAACTTTTTGTGGGCGAAAAATAACTTAAATACAACCTATTTTAAGTTATTTCGCTTAATAACGCGTATATGCAAGTTCTCCCTCCATATCCTTATGTGACCACCCAGATCTGGTCGAGACTGCCCCACCACCACCTTCCTAGCACTCGCATGGGCGTACTCTAGCGGTGGCGATGTAAACGATGCAAGGGAGGAGCGGCACCACCTGCGTTGTGGCCTCCAAACCCGTCAATTGTTATTGTGGACTCCTGTTCGTGGGAATGGATACATGTTTCAATTAAATACATATTCAAAATTTTGATTATTAGATTTTAATCTCATAGAAAAAAGTCTACTTAACCACCGCAACTATTGGTCGTTGTCTACTTCACCCTCACCTGTGAAACCAGTTAACCCTTTAAAGTATTGAAAACCGTCTAAATAACCCCCTGAGTCTATTTTAAAAGTGGTTTCGCTGACGTGATATATTAAAAAGTCTATATAACCCCTTAACATATCAAGATTTGATTATATAACCCCCTCAACTATAAAACATGATATTATAGCCCTTAAAATATCTAATAATATTCAAATGACCCCTTCATAATCTTATAGGGTCGTTTAGACACCATATCATGCCACACTAGCCTAAATACACATGCTTTCACATATGACCATTTGTTGCGTCCACGTCCGTACTCTTTCTAGGCTGGACTCCCATCCAAGGAGCAGCTTGCGACATCTTGTATCATGCTCTACTTCCCGCTACTCATCAATGACATTGAGCTCAAGCACCATGCCTGCACCCTCGTCATCCGGTCCCTTCCACATCCTCCACATCTGGTGGTCCTTCAATTTTTTAGGTAGCCATAGCCCATAGGAGGAGAAAACAAGAGGGAGCGAGGATGTGTGAGGGGCTGGATGACAAGGGTGCAGGGGTAGTGCTAGTGCAAGAGCTCAATGCCCTCGAGGAGTGCCATGAGATGGAATGGGAGACAATATGGTGCTCAATGGGTGGTGGTGCAAACCTAGAAAGAGTAGGGAGAGGGAGGAAGCTGATGGGCCTGCGTGCAAGCATGGGTGCTTCAGCCACTATGGCGAGATAGTGTCTAAACGGTCCTACAAGACCATCCGCGGTGCGATTAGAACATTATTAGATGCTTTAAGGATTATTACAGTGTCAGGTTTTATAATTGAGGGGGTTATATAATCAACCCTTGATATGTTAAGGAGTTATGTAAACTTTTAATATGTCGTATCAGCAAAACAACTTCCAAAACCGCCTTAGGTGGTTAAACGGTTTTCAATAGTTTAAAGGCTAGAATATATTATTTTATAGGTGAGTGGATGAAGTAGACAACTACTAATAGGTTGGGGGTGTTAAGTAGACTTTTTCCTAATCTTATTCATTGCTGTAGATTTTTTTTATCCTTAGGTGATGCTAAAACTCTTGTGCTTGTTGTATCTTTTATTAAGTCTCCTTTTATATTTATTAAAAAATATGGATTTTAGGTCATAGACTGCACTTTTAATTACTGTACTGGCATAACCTTTATATAACTCTTACCATGTCGCTTAAGATTAGTGGTAGAATCTAAGATAGAGTAGAGGTGCTAGCCTCAATCAAGAGGATATTAATATTTAAGACTTATAGTATGTGTTTAGTCAAAAGGAATCTCAAAGACCTTATAGTTATATCCACCTTTGGTTTGTACAAAACTCCCCTGCTTATTAAGATGTTTCAAATTTCTTATCAAGGATTATTTGTGTAATAATATTTCTTTATAGAAAATAGAGATATATAGATATGTTAAATGTTTTAGTTCAATTGTATAAATTTATCTAAAAACACTTTTATAAGTTAGATATCAGGTTATTAATATTTTAATTCTTTTTCATGATTGCTAAAACATTATACATATACGGCATAACAAGTATGTTTACTTGTTCATTTTCATTAGTTTTTTAATATATCAATATTAATAAAGTGTGTAATGTACAAACATATGCACGTGTAATTTATGGTTATTTAAAGATTTTAATAGAAAATGTTGGTATACGAGATTGGAGAGGATATTTCAGGTTTTCAATGTTTGTTGACGTGGTAATTCAGATGCTTAGATTATCTATTAGGAGGGCAGGTGGGAAATTATATGCAAATTTAAGATTACTTTAGATTGTGGTTTATAATGACATATGTAGGGAATTTAAATACAAATTCATAGTTTACTTAGAGCTATTTTCCACGACCATAGAGGTGGATAATTATTTAAAAATAGATAGATTCAATGGTTGAGTCTATCGAATTAATGTATAGATTATTTCGATTATTTGAGAATTCCTAGGATTAATTGGGACTTGCTAGCGTCCGGACGCTGCCCGCACAGGGAGCGAGCAAGCGCACCAGCAGTGGGCCCGCGCCGCCCTGAACGTCGTACGCACCGCCGGCCACTTCCCACGCGCATCCCATGTGCAACATCTCGTTCTACTTTTGAAACATACAAATGCAACATACAAACCAAGACTGATGAAACACTTAAAACAAGTGTCCGAAACTACATTCGCATCTTTCACAGCCGCGTCGTAACCCACATCGCAGTCCAATTTTGGCCTCGGCAGTAAGCTATCGACAGTGATGGTCATAGCCTTCACCGTCGCCATCTGGGACCGACTGCGGTGTACACTAACACCGCTGATTGACTTATGATCCGTCCATGATTAGGTCCTTACTTCAGTCGCA